TCATCGGGGGGATTCCATAGTTATGTTGATTTTGTCTGGGTATCATTTCACTAAACGGTCTAGATATAAATCACAACTGTTCGGCTTTTGAATACGTTGAATAAGATTATCGATACGTTTGAAGTTTTAAAACTACTTCATAAAATTATAAAATTATACATTTTTAGCAAATCTTTGATAGACAAGTGTTAAAATTAATTTCTCGTACAATTAAAAAGCGAGGCTTATGTCAACTTACCCTAAAGTTTTGATGCACATTCTCCAAATTAGTTGACTTCAGTGTTTAATTAGACGGGCACAATTAATTAGACCGGAGTAGAACACGACAGCTAAAAATTAGCAAAGTTTTTAATTAGAGATGAGTTGGCCAGTCAATGGATGTCTGCTCACTAGATGAAGTAGAGTATTCCCGCGCTCAGAATGAGACGACCCGTCACAACTTTTCATTAATAAATGCGGATGTCACGTGATTTAGGAGCTTGACAGTCGTAAGTGCAATCTAGTGCTTGTGCGATGCGTCAGTTTCAATGAACGTCCGTGATGCACGGATTATGAGCTTCTCCTCAAGATGTTTCAAAACGAGACGTTTTAAAGATAACATTTTCCTAAAAGTCAAAGATTAAATGTAAAAGAGCGTAACTATTTTAAGAAAACTAACCAGGATCTCAGTGGTCATCGCGAATTCTAGGACAACTTGATGCTCAAACAATACATACGATTGGGTTATTTTAAATGCTAATTAATTGCTCCTTTGATTACTATTGTGTTTTCTTCACGGACCTAAAGCACAATTTAAAATGGCCAATCTTGCGTCGTTGTAGATTTTGATCGCTCGTTATAAAACAAGCAGCATGATTTAAAAAAAAGTTTTTGGCTGACCAGGATTCGGGTCATTAGACAGAGGTCAAAGGGTGCAGACAGCACGTCACACTGACGAGACTGGCAGACGACACATCTACAGATGGTTAGCCGTTAGATGATGTTTAATGAATTCTTTCTTGTGCTGGTCAAATGAATTAGACTTTTAGCTCATAATACGGTTTTAACAGTACTCTAATTCATTTTGATAATCGCCAGCGCAATAAATATTGTCATCTCAAAGACGTGTAATTAAAAGGGGCAGTAGGTTACCTGAAAGAATGTGGTTACTCTGAACCCAAAGTTACGTAACCCAACATTTGAGGAAAACATTGAAGAAAGTTTCAAGTACATAATCGGCTTAGTCATCCATACAAAAAGTTCTTTAAAGAAATGTCAACCAATTTCTCGGGAAATTTCGGTCTCTTTTTCACGACAACAGTAGGTTGTAGAGTCGAGAACCACAAAAACCACATTGATGCAGCCACACCACAACATGTGCCACAAAAACCACATACAGCCACACCGGGACTTGTGACTCAAGGCTAACGACTTACAGACATAGCAAGAAAAAAAAATCGAAACTTAATCAGACGCAATACACATCGCTGCCCACCTTCCCCGCCCCATTAAAATAGTTGTACTGAGGGGCCTTGATATTTTCACCCGCCAAACTTCGTGGTCTGAGTAGGGATATGTCCAGGTCGTATACCGAGGTATTAAACCACTGGTTCGTATGACGAGGTATTAAACCATAGGTTCGTATGACGAGGTATTAAACATATCTGTAATTCGCCAGTAATGTTACACATTTTCTTCTTTGTTCGTATGTGGGATGGTTTTGTGAGGAGGGATGGGAGGGGGGAACCCAAACTTGTAACTGTAAACAATGTGTGAACACAATGGATGTTGTAAACAAAAATGCGTAGAAATATGAGCAACATCCGGAAACTTTTAGGAAACCCCCGAGTGTCGGAGCGAGGGGGATAATGACCTTTTGTGTGCAGACATGTAGTCAGCGGACCATGGCGACAGTTGGGAGGGACATCTACAGGACAGTTGAGGGACATAGAAATTAGTGGCTTGGGTAAATTCAGGTAAATTTCAGCCATTCCTTAGGGGGAAAAAAGCGAAGTAGTGTTACCCTCTCATTTTTCACATAGTACATTTTTGTGTATGAATAATATTTAATATAAATGAAATTAAAATATACAAAATCAAATAAGCGCATGTGTTATCGTGAAAAAAACGTGTACATAAAATAGTATGAATAACATACAAAAAGTAACTATTTCGTCTTGAGGGTCATGGCAACTTTGGTAAAGTGGCAGAGATCACCAATTGGTAATTTAAAGATCAAGTGGTGGTGATGCGAAAATTGCGAGTTGGTGACATGTGGATCACTGTACAATCGATTTGAGAAGAAAACAATAGGCTAAATATATTTATCAAAGTTAAATATTTTATCAAAAATTGGAGCGAGTTGTTGGCTCGATGATAAAGGCCCATTTATGTTAGCATATACTTTCAAGTATTCTAATAGACATTTTTAGCAGTTTAAATTGTCACATGTTATAGTAGTGGTCAGTCATATGTGTTTTATTTAACCCGTATTTTTAATTATCAATCAGTTGATCGTCATGCAGTTATGCTGCTCAGCTGGGTGCTAATTAATGCAAATTTATTGACTGAATATTTAAATTATTAACTCTCACACACACACTCGCTCACACACAGCCCCCACAAACCTCCAGGAAATAACTTGGAATCCCCCCTACTTAGACTCCCACACACGACTTAACATGTAAACAGTTTGAGTTGAAGTGGACAAATCACTTAGAGAAATTAGTCAAAAGTTTTTTCCGTGAAACGTGCACGATGACTAACGACGACTCATCATCTTGTTGAAGAGAGATCCTACACAAACCTGCACACTTGCTAAATTTCCGACACTTCAACCCCCTTTCTTTAACCACAACAATTGAAAACATTTTAATTGCAAACTTGACAGATGTAGAAAACATGAGTCTATTTTTAGCGATAGCCTCGTTTTGAGACAGTCTGAAGGTCACTTGATGTGGTGAGTAATATGAGTAACAATGACGGGCCTTCGTCACCCCCATGGTCTAGCTAGACGATCTTACAAGAACGGGTTCAAGTCTCATTTGAAACGAGCAAGGAAATATTTTAGTCGTACTAAAACTCGTGAACGTAAAGTTCCGATAGATTAAACCATAAATGTTTTGGTCACTTAGAAAACGTTGAGTGCACAACAAAGTCAAGTACTTTTTACTTTATCATCTTACAAGACAGATGAACTCACTATGAGTTGATACAGTCTCAGTTGGTCAAGTCTCGGGTGGTCAAGTCTCGGGTGGTCAAGTCTCGGTCGGTCAAGTCTCGGTCAAGTCTCGGGTGGTCAAGTCTCGGTTGGTCAAGTCTCGGTTGGTCAAGTCTCGGTTGGTCAAGTCTCGGTTGGTCAAGTCTCGGTTGGTCAAGTCTCCGTTGGTCAAGTCTCGGTCAAGTCTCAGTTGGTCAAGTCTCGGTCAAGTCTCGGTTGGTCAAGTCTCGGTTGGTCAAGTCTCAGTTGGTCAAGTCTCGGTTGGTCAAGTCTCGGTTGGTCAAGTCTCGGTTGGTCAAGTCTCGGTCAAGTCTCGGTTGGTCAAGTCTCGGTTGGTCAAGTCTCGGTTGGTCAAGTCTCAGTTGATACATTCGTGTGCTATTTTCGACCAGACAGCCGGGGGTACATCTCTCAAGTTTGAGAACCTAGACAAACGTTCACGAAAATTTGATTGGTTTCTTCTAAGAGCTTTAATTAATCACCAATTCCATTGAAACTCTTCAGGGGGAGCAATTTACAACAGAGACTTTGTGCTTAAGTCTGATCTCACCGGAAGTGATCTCACCGACATGTCACACATGTCATCAACTCCGGAAGGTCAGAGGTCATCATCATGTACATGTTATTCAACAACTTCATTTCCACCCCCCCCCCCCCCCCCCCCCCCCGCATCTTTCCCAGACTGCACGAAAATTTCCTCCGAGATTGAGGTAAAATCTCCATTGTAAATGTTTTCAAGCCATCGACTTAATATCACGGAAGTAGGTCAGGATGGTCAGGTACACTCGACACTGGTCGTGTGTAAGTAGGTCACAGTGGTCAGGTAGAATCAGGCACTGATCGTGTCTAAGTAGGTCACAGTGGTCAGGTAGAATCAGGCACTGTTTGTGCTGGGACTGGCGTTTAAGTCTCCAAGACAAGCGTTGCCATGACAACGCGATCACCTATTCAGCGGCAGTACGCGGAGGTTGTTCAGGTGTTTGCGGGAGGGTAGGGGGAAGGGGCTCGTACAGAGAATAATGGTAGAGGCGGGGAGGGGGGGGCACAATTCTACTACTTCACAAAGCAAGAAGACGCAATGCATGTCGACTTTGTTGCGTCACATTTTAAACGGGGCGAGGTGACATTCGGGCAGATGTGACAAGGTTTCCAGCTCGGTGGGGTGAAGGTCATATGGGGGGGGGGGGGTATGGGGCGGTGCAAAACTGTCACGTTAACATTAGGCTGATCTGTCGTTCATATATCGATATCGTCTTGTTGAAATATCGACACCATCGTATTAAAATATCGATACCATCTGGTTAAAATATCGATACCGTCGGGCTAAAAAATAAAATATCGATACCATGGTGCTAAAAATAAAATATCGATACCGTGGTGTTAAAAATAAAATATCGATACCGTGGTGCTAAAAATAAAATTGACCCCGTGGTGTCTAAAGTTTATCCGCAACTGCGAACAATTCTTCGACAGTTTCTTCGATGATTAAAGTAATCAAAACGACTTAACTAATGACTCACTAATGATCCTTTACGGAATGACTCACTAATGATCCTTTACGGTCTTCTAGACCCGAGAGATTATAGACCGATCAGGTAGTGATGATACAGATACATTTCTGGGAATATTTAAGTTGACTAAATTGTATAAACAGTTAACTGTCTAGTCTTGCTCTTTTTTTATTAGAATGCGATGCGGCATAACAATTAACTACATCTTTTTAGTAACTCTCAGACTGACATAAATTTTGACCATAACAATTGCTGACATAGAATTAGTTTACTATTTAGAAAACGCTTACCTGAGAAAACTTTTGCGAATGTCCATTTTAATGTTGATCTCACACGTCAAAATGTCTGATGTGAATGAAAACAATGCGATCATTCGTCTGATATATCCAACCGTATCCACAGAAAACTTTCCATCGCTGTGTCCGAAACTGACAAAACACCGTCTGCTGACCGGTGATACGTGTAGCGGCCGCTGGTCATGTGACCTTTTGACCCCCCGTGTTACGTCTGCACGTAGATGATTGCAGCGCTACACACAAACACACTCGGCTGAGTCCCGCAACTCTCGCCGCTTATTATCTCGTGATGGTGCATTGGTCGCCACTATTAATTCACAGTAGGGGTCGAGGGGGGGGGGGGGGGCGTTTTGGGTGAATACAACTCACACAAAGTTCACGAGGTATTGGTTAACTGCGCATGTCACAACAAGTATGCAAATGTTGAATGATAAAGAGCGTACAGCTGTAGTGTGTTGGTGTGTAGGGTAGGTTACCTGCCCTGGAAATTTTCTATTGTGTGACGTAAGCAGAAAATATTCCTTTGTTTAATTACTGCTGATACCAATTATATTCCTATTGTTTACTCTAAAAATGTAATTTTTAAAACTAAGGCAGCTGTGTTCTAAAATAAGCATACAATCAACAGTGAAACAAATGGCACAATTGATCCAGAAAAGAAATAACTCCAGCGTTAGAAATGTATCCACTGTATGTATGAATGTGACACGTCTTGATGTGAAATGTCCGAGTGTCCGGCCTCCACGAAGGTCAGTACAAGTGTGCGTGTCGTAAATCCAAGCCGGACTGTGTCGTCATGACGCCGAGTCCAACTTGCGTCGTTGTCAATGGTGGCGGGGCACTGGTCATTCAAACGGACTGGTCAGCCGCTGGACAATGCAGAATTATGCTGGCAAATAGCGTTCAGGGGTCGAGGTGCAAAGGGGGCATTGAAAGGGGGATAATGAGTCGAGGGGGTGGGGGTGGGTGGTTGCGAGGCACCTGGGGGTGGGGGCGTACTGTGGTCACACTCGGGGAGAAAGTGGGTATTGAATAACATTGACGCATGGTGGACCGCGTCTTGTCTCTGCTTGAAGCGACTGGACAATGCAGGCACGAAGTCGGTGGCCTTGTGTGTGGAGGGGAGGGGGGCAGGTGACGGGGGGGGGGGGGAGGACCGGAGACAACTTGACCACATCTTACAAGTGGACGAGAGGCTATTGAAAGTTAATTGGGTCCGAAATTGTAATGGAGGACAGCGGATAAAAATAGATTTCTAGAGGGGATTATTTTTCACGGAGAGACCAAAAGATCACTCAAACAGGTCACTCAAAGCTACGTCATTCATTGGTCATTCTTAGAGAGTAAGTCTAGTCTAGTTCTCGACCAAGTCTATAATAAAACACTTCTGATGAAACACCAGCTAAACAGACACACACACACACACTATATATATATATATATATATATATATATATATATATATATATATATATATATATATATATATATATATATATATATATATATATATATATATACAGGAAGAAAATGATCTTTTAGTGAACCCTTTTAACATAAATAAAGTGCTACCCATAATCTTATGACTGTACAGATTTATTTATGGCCAAAATAAAATACAAAGACCAAATACAACACGCATTGATGTTATTTAAAAGAAGCAATTTCTTTTCCAAGAATGCTTGTAATAGGATCATTTTTTTTACATCCGAGTAATTCAATTCATGGGGTTGTTTACATAAGGGAGGGTAGTGAGGAACGAATAAAAATCGATTTGATTGCCGGTAATTGAAAAAAATAACAATAAAGCACGAAAACTTGATCGTCATTGTACATGAAAACTTGATTGTTAGTGCGAGCGACTGAAACGTGTTTTGCCTCTTGGCATCGTTCCCTTCTCCGTTGTAGTAATCCCCACCCTCCCCCGCCCTCCCATGACACCATCTGTTGGGTCCACCTGAGTCTACGATGTAACCGGGCGATGTAACCACTTGGTAGAGACCAGTAACCACTTTAGTGCTGTCACAGTCAAACCACTAAAGGTGCCACAGTAACCACATTACCCACACTACCACAGTAACCACACGACCACAGTAACCCCACTACCACAGTAACCCCACTACCACAGTAACCCCACTGCTGCAGTACCCACACTACCACAGTAATCCCACTACCACAGTAACCCCACTGATGGTGCCGCAACTTGAAATGGACCAAAATTTTAATCAGGATCAAGGTGGACAACTCTTAAACAAATAAGTAGCTAAGGGGTCACTTGAACAACAATGAGTTCAAACACGGAATTCTCGATCTTTCAGGTGTAAATGTTTTTTTAATTACTCCAACAGAGAAATAAATTAAAGCCACTTAAAAATATTTTCCTACAAGTCTGAGATGTGTGACGTCTAACAAAGGTAGGTCCACACAGTGTGTACCGCAGACGGCAACACGCGGCAGACATTTATGACAGGAGCAGACGATGACCGTCCAGCGTAGCCCGGGGCGTCCTTCTGTGTCATTGGTCGGCTGAATGAGGTGACGTAATGACCGGTCACGGTTCACACGGCCGGCCGGACGAATCCGGTGCAAAAAGAAAATGGTAGAGAGATTAAGCGCTTTCATTTTCGCTTCAATAACAAGCTGACGTCATCAAAACTAGTGCGAAACACCGGCGGGTGGTTTATTTGTCCCAGAGACAATGGACTGGTCCAGGGGACAATGGACTGGTCCAGGGGAAATGACTCGGGTCGGGTCGTGTTTGAGCGCGCAACGGTCAGCCAGACTTGCAGTTTGAGCGGTCAGCAGAGGAGGGCTGAAATCGACACCACTCGCAGGACCCCGCGTCGTGTCGGCCGGCGTGGTGACGTAGATCCCGCCCGCGGGCTATTGTTGCGTAACGCCGCGACATCTAGCGACCGGGTGATGACAGGTGTGTGCAGTCTCCCGTGGGCTCGTTAACTCCCCAAATTGGTGGAGGCTGATTGGACCAGGCTGATTGCTTTTTCTTTGTCAATACGGAGAATAGAAAGCGGTAAAAGTGGGTAGTGTTGAAGGGTGGGTAGGATTTAGGATTATCACCCACTCGATAGATAATCCTTAGGCTCCGACAAGATAAGTATTTTGGCCCTGATGTGTTGTTATAGAGCCGGGTTAAGATTAAAATCACTCGACCCTAGTAGTCGAATACTTTGTGACATTTTAGTTTGACAGTAATTAAATCTATCCACAAATAAGACATCTTAAGAAAATTTTTAAAAATTTGGAGTTTAAATAACATTTAAAATATAAAAAGCGTGAGGTAAAGTACCCATCCGACAGTAAAACGTAAGTAACATTTTACGGTAGGATCTGGTCAGTTGTTTAGTAGGCCTGTACAGTAGCTCAGAATTTGAGTTACCTGTCCATTGTAGGCCTATTCTATAAGATCTAGTCCGTTCTTAGTAGGCCTGTCTAGTAACACAAAATATCTCACAAAAATGTTCACAAAAATATCTCACAAAAATATCTCACAAAAATATCTCACAAAAATATCTCACAAAAATATCTCACAAAAATATCTCACAAAAATATCTCACAAAAATATCTCACAAACATATCTCACACAAATATCTCACAAAAATATCTCACAAAAATATCTCACAAAAATATCTCACAAACATATCTCACAAACATATCTCACAAACATATCTCACACAAATATCTCACACAAATATCTCACACAAATATCTCACACAAATATCTCACACAAATATCTCACACAAATATCTCACACAAATATCTCACACAAATATCTCACACAAATATCTCACACAAATATCTCACACAAATATCTCACACAAATATCTCACACAAATATCTCACACAAATATCTCACACAAATATCTCACACAAATATCTCACACAAATATCTCACACAAATATCTCACACAAATATCTCACACAAATATCTCACACAAATATCTCACACAAATATCTCACACAAATATCTCACACAAATATCTCACACAAATATCTCACACAAATATCTCACAAAAATATCTCACAAAAATATCTCACAAAAATATCTCACAAAAATATCTCACAAAAATATCTCACAAAAATATCTCACAAAAATATCTCACAAAAATATCTCACAAAAATATCTCACAAAAATATCTCACAAAAATATCTCACAAAAATATCTCACAAAAATATCTCACAAAAATATCTCACAAAAATATCTCCAATATTTGGAAAGAAATGTTGAGAATTATAAAAATCTTTGAAGCCATAAATAGGAGTTGCGCAGATGTGCAATTATTTATCAAAAATTCTAAAGGCATAGTGTTTATATAATTATTGGACTTATTTCTTCCAAAATAATTTACCGTGCGTTAATTTCCATACTTCTTTTTGACATTGTTTCTATTGTTAACGTTTTGCGTGGATGTCGCCTTGGATGCCTTTTACCTTGTCGGCGTTTTGTCTTGATCTTATATGCACCTTTAAATATTTATCCATTCCTGTGATGTTTTCATGTGACTTTTCTTCTCAACGGCAAGACTGATCGATTGATTCTCACCCCCCCCCCCCCCGCCCCCAATTATACGAGTACAGTTTTTATATTTAAAACAAAAGAGTTGCCAGTTAGCGTTCAGAGATTTTAAAATCACGGCTTGGTTTAGTCATGGCATTTAAAGTGGTTGTTGGGGTGTTTGGGTGGGGGAAAGGGGTTTTGGGTGGGGGGAAGGGGTGTTTTGGTGAGAGGGGTGTTTTGGTGGGAGGAAGGGGTGTGGGTGGGGGGAAGGGGTGTTTGGGTGGGGGGATGGGGTGTTTTGGTGAGAGGGGTGTTTGGGTGGGAGGAAGGGGTGTGGGTGGGGGGAAGGGGTGTTTGGGTGGGGGGATGGGGTGTTTTGGTGAGAGGGGTGTTTGGGTGGGAGGAAGGGGTGTGGGTGGGGGGAAGGGGTGTTTGGGTGGGGGGATGGGGTGTTTTGGTGAGAGGGGTGTTTGGGTGGGAGGAAGGGGTGTTTGGGTGGGGGGAAGGGGTGTTTGGGTGGGGGGATGGGGTGTTTTGGTGAGAGGGGTGTTTGGGTGGGAGGAAGGGGTGTGGGTGGGGGGAAGGGGTGTTTGGGTGGGGGGATGGGGTGTTTTGGTGAGAGGGGTGTTTTGGTGGGAGGAAGGGGTGTGGGTGGGGGGAAGGGGTGTTTGGG